CATCGTAACAATAGATGAACCCTTTTGGGTGCTACATAAAACCCTCATCAAAACGGTTCCAAATAGAACCACATACAACACATTCTCCATCAGTCTGAAGAACCATGTAACGATGCAAAGAACCCTTTAATCACGCAAAGGGTTCTTTAAGTGTTCATGGTTCTATATAGAACCATTTTCTTTACTAAAGAACCCTTGAAGAACCAATGAAGATCAATTTTAAGAGTGTAGTTTGCACTGTAGTCTGTGTAGTTACTGAATAATAAGCTGTACTACATAATAAGCCTGGGATTTTAAGGGGTTAAAAGCTTTTCCGAAGGTCTCCTGGTGGCAGTCTGGCATTATTTGTGATCATCTAATACCTGGTTTGGTTGATCAGTACTTCATTATGCTGAATCATATGAGCTGGTTATGGAATTTAAAAGGGAATTCCACATTTTTTTTTCCAAAGTTCTGAATTATTCAGTCCTTGAGATGTAAACAGTCATTCAGAGTGTTTGATATGAAATGGTTCATTGTAGAGAAACTTACTGACTCTGATTTGTTTACAGTGGTGGTGATAGGAACCAGGGGGTCACCATGTTTACAACACAAATACAGCCCTTTTATTTACTGTCCAAACCACCAGTGAACCTACACGTGTCTTCATATATAATGTTGATGATGGTAAATTTGAATAAATAAGTTTTCTTTGGGGACTATTTTGCCTCACAACACCCTGCACGTATCCCTCCGCCATGAATAGAATAAAATAAATGGATTAAAATACATTTTAAGCCACAGTTTTATCACAAAACAAAACTATGTCTCAGACATTAGGCTGCATATATCTAACCATTTAATGTAGTAACTTTCTGTGAGGGAGCTTTTAGAGGTGGACGTCTGGTTCCTATCACCACCACTGTGAACAATTCTGACTCGGTAAGTTTCTCTAGAACGGAGCGTTTCACACCAAACTGCTCTGAACGACTCTGTTTACATCTGAACTGTTTAATTATGTAGAATTTTTGAAAAATCAGTGGAGTTCCCCTTTAAGCGATGGGGCATCGAGGAGGAATCTGGAACCAAAGATATCTTATTTTTTTTGAAAAAATTAATTGATGACTTTTTACTGTAATAATGTTTATTTGCATCTAGTTGTAAACCAAACTAATAAAAGAATGAAGGACAAAATAACACTTGGCTCTTTTCTGATGATTTTAGAAGTTTATGGGGGTCAGTAAATCTGGCTGGGACTGCATACTTTGGGATTTGGGATTTATGGAGGTGGGGTGCAACAGCATATCAGTTCTAACAGTGTTGATTCTTAAAGGCTGTGATTTGACTACCAGTTCAATGTACACTCATTGTCCATGTCCATGAAACTCAGCTTTAGTTTTATTAGAACACCTTACAGAAAATTCTCATTCCCCATTGTTTGACAGGACTTGATAAACGTTTACTGTCAACCTGATATTGATAAGATCACCCTAACATGGCAAAATAAATCTGGTTTATGGTGCTAACAGGTCAATACAGGCCTATACTAACAATGCAGGCCTATAGTAACAAGTCTACTTGAGTAAAAGTAGAAATACTTTTGGTAAATAATATTACGTCCAGCCCTCATAGCATCATGGGAGAAAAGTATTGTCAGTATTTTGAAAATACAGAAATAAACAGCTATTTTTTTAGAAGTGAAGTCCACCACATACAGTTTACTGTATAAAAACTACTTCTAGGGTCTCCTCTAAGCAGCGTTCACAGCCTGTAAACGGTAAACGATGCACGCCGGAGAGAAGAGACGAGAACTTCCATTCAGCTTACTGAATCGATTCTCTTGAACCACCTGTTTCAATGAATCAAACGTCTGATTCACCGATTTGTTGGTTCACATGTGAGGCTGTTATGAAAAGGTCACAACGTGGCATGATTTGATTTTATTAGATTATTATGAGAGATTATTAATAGAATTTTACAGAGTGGGCAAATTACAATACTTCTGTACTTGAGTAAAAGTTGAAATAGTCTCAGTGAAATATTACTTAAGTGAACGCACAATACTGTGGCGTCGGCGTAGAAGGAGACGCAGGAGAGGCCTTTATTTCTGCCACGAGAAGATCTCTTTTACTTACACCAGCAGAAAAGTTACACAGCTGGGAAGCAGGCAGGCCATTTACAGCCATACAGAAGGAGCAGTTAGCACAAAACCCCAACAGCCCAACATAATGACAAAATAACGTGTGCACACACTTTAAACTAAGGAACACGTGCGGCACAACTCTGTACACCACACCCCAAAGCTCCTTCTTTAAACGCCACTGTATGTTTCTACTTGAGTAAATGTAAAGTGCTCTGAGTTGTTGTAGACACTGTAATATTTAGACAAGCAAGTTTAGAGATTTGTGTGACTGCAGAAATGAACAGCTACTCAGCTGATTGTGATCAAACATGCTCAACAAATTGACAAATTTATCCAATAGATCTTTACTGTAGATCTACAATAATTCAAAATTCAAGATTCAAGATATATAATAATTCAAAACTCAAGATTCAAGATATTGTCATTGCACAGAGTACAACGAAACTGGGCAGCAATCCTAACAGTTCATTAACAAATTCAATTAAACTAGGAATACAAAAAATAAGCTAATATAAAATACAAAATGCACAATATTAAAGAAAAGACTATATAATTTTAAATGATAAAAAAGTAAAATAAAAAATAAAACAATTAAATAATTAAAAATAAAATTATAAAAAAGCAAAATAAAGAGTGAATATAAAAGAATGTAGCAGCTGTGGTGTTCCACATGAGGGTATGTGAATGGTAGTGTTTCTACATACAAAGAGTGCAGTTTAATGATAAATATAAAGTGCAAACGAATGTAAACATCTTTTAATATCCCTTGAATATGTTTTGGATAGGTGCAGGTGGACACTCTATTCCTGTGTTGTTAGTACTTTTGACAATTAAGTACTTTCACAAGCAAGTAACTTCGTTTTTTTACTCAGGTAGAAACACTGATCTCACTTTTACTCAAGTAATATTTTTCCAACAGTATTTCTTTTAGTATTTGTACTAAAATATTGTACGTTGTTTGAATTGTATTCCATCTTCAGCCAATAACAAACAAATAAAAAGAAACTAAGCTCTTTCTTCTTTATTTTTTATACATATACTAACAATGTTCACTTGCATGCATCACATTTGTAATCATTTTGACTTCAATACATTTTATTTAAAGTGATATTAAAATATTTGTATTGCATGCATTGTAATACCGGTTTAGCATATTCTTGTTTAAGCTATGACTGTATGCTTAATGTGCTATTTATACATTTGAAAAATGTAGCTACAGTTAATTGGTTTGTACATGTTTATTGTCGCAGTGACTAGCAAAAAGTCAAGTCAAAGTTTATTTATATAGCGCTTCTTACAACAGGTGTTGTCACTAAGCAGCTTTAAAGAAAAATCCGGGTCTGAGCCCCCATGAGCGTCGCCAATGGAGACAGTGGCAGGAAAAACTCTCTAAGAACAAGAGAAAGAAACACTGAGAGGAACCAAGACTCAAAAGGGGAACCCATCCTCCTCTGGACCACACCGGATAGCAAACAGTGTTAGAATAAAATATTAGAATACAAAACTGGGAAAAAAAGGCAGAGCAATGGTTAATTAGATAGTTTGAGTTTATGCAGCAGCAGCAGGAGGGTCAGTTCATGAGGGTGAGGTGCAGATCAGCCAACAGAGACAGAGCTGTGATTAGTCTGGCAGCTCTGGTGGCTCTCATGTGGAGAGAGAGAGAGAGAGAGAGAGAGAGAGAGAGAGAGAGATTGATTAACAGGACAGGTCCGTTTATGGAGAGATATCAGTGAGTTAATAGTGCTACAACTGATATTAGCAAGTTTTGAGTCTAGTTTTAAATGTAGAGTGGCTCAGTTCGGATTTGAAAAGATCAGATTTGTGTCCACACAGCCCTGAAAATATCAGATCTGAGTCACATTAGGGCAAAAAATCTGATTTGTGCCACTTCAGCCTGATAATGTGAACGTAGCCTTTCATATGTGGTCCTAGATCGGATATGTATCCGATTTGTGTCTATGCGACCAAAGTTAAAGTCTGTAAACGGTGGAAAAGCAGCTCATCTCACCTTTTTCTCCTTCGTCTCGCTCTAATAATGAAGCTGAGAGCTGATCAGAGTTAATTATCTTCTCAGCGAAGCTCGTTCTGCTCGTTAGTTTGTGCTGATGATGCATCAGCATTCACGTGACGTTACTGAGTAGGATGTGCGCATGCGGGTCAGTTCAGGACGCCGGTTCGTTCACACTGACAGATTTGAATCACTTACCTGAACTCAGGCAAACTAAAGAGAGAAAGAGAGAAATTGATTAACAGGACAGGTCCATTTATGGAGAGATATTAGTGAGTTAATAGAGCAGCAAGTTTTGAGTCTTGGTTTTAAATGTAGAGGGTGTGTCTGAGTCCCTGAGTCCCGAACAGAGGTCGGGATTTGATTCCACAATTTTGGGGCTACGTAGGAAAAAGCTCGACCACCTGCTGTGGTTTGTCTAATTCTAACTGTCAGCAGGCCGGTATTCTGTGTGGGTTCATATGACTGAACTAATTCACTGAGACACTGTGGGCCATTTAATGACCACAGGATTGGGGATATATGGTCAAATGTATGGTCCTTGTAAGACTCTAGCAGCTGCATTCTGGACCAGTTGGAGCTTCTTTGTTGACGTGTTGGAGCATCCAGCTATAATGGTGTTACAGTAGTCCAGCCTGGAGGTTATAAAGGCACGCACACGTTTCTCGTTACGTAGTTTAGCGAATGAATGCGGTTCTAACGATGTTGAAGACATGCGCATCAAAAGTGAACGAATCATTCCTCTGAACCGGCTCTTTTTAGTGAGTCGGTCGAGCCGATTCATTCGAAAGGACTCGTTCAGAGTAGCGATTCGATCACGAGTCGGACGTCGCTACTGGAGAGCGGAATTATGGGATACTGTCGGTCGGCGGCGCGCTGCCGCCATGTCTCCTGAAGATAAACGGCGGCTAGCTTTCTCCTCCGCCGCGCTGCTGCTGCTCGCGCTCCTCCTCCTCGCGCTGAGTTACATACCGACTTATCTCTATATCCTCTTCTTTTTCGCGGGTTCCTGCTGCGTCGGTTACTACAAAGCGGAGGAGTTCCGGCTCTTCGACAGACTAGGCCTCAACCCCCGCCCTGGCCTGACGGTGCCGCCGGCTCTGCTGCGCTGTTTGCCGGGCGGGAGTCTGCGCGGGGCGCCGGCGGGCGCTCGAAACAAGAACCGCGCCAACAAAAGCGATGCGAGAAATTCTCTAGCGACTCCCGGCGAAAGGCATTTCGGCAGCCCCGCTCAGCGGCGAGAGGCCGCGTTCGGCGACTCGGCGTTTAGCCCGCGGGACTTACTAATGGGGAGCTACCTCGCCAAGGCGGAGAGCCCCTCCGTTTCGGGGAGGCCTGCCGGAGGCTCCGGGGCTCACGGCCACGCCGGGGAGCAGCTCCGAGAGAGACTCGTCCGGCCAAACCACGGAGTCCCCACTCCGAACAGGAGACTCTCTTTCGGGTAACTCAGCTCCTCCTCGCGTCCGGGTCACGCATGGTGCTCATTCGCTCTTCCAGCTTCAGTAATTGGGTCCAACTCGCTTTCCAGAACTTTCTCCCCGGCGCTTTTGGGGAAATTCGGCTGGTGTTAGGGTTGAACTGCTCTGCGGCTCTGGCGGTGTGGTTGTAGCGTTGGTGCTGTGCGTTGCGCGGAGTCTCTCTCTGCTCCTGCTCGGGTTTCCATGTGTTTCCATGTGTTTTTCCCTCCAAGATTTGAAAATGTGGGAGTTCCTTCTGGCGGACAGGGCGCTAACGCTCGCCTCCTCCTCGGCCGCTGACTGCGACGCGTTGGCTCATGCTAAAAAAAACGGAGCTCAAACTTTTTACGTGTTAATCTTGTTTTTGAATAATTACTGTTAATTTTTCTGAAGAGTGATTGTGTCAGAAAGTGTTCCGTTTTTGTTTGACAGTGACAGAACTCGGTCACACTCGGAACGCCTTTGACCTGACGCAGGCTACCTTTGTTGACATGAACTTACTGAAGTCTTAACTGAAGATTTCTAAAACGCCTTTTGTTTGCAACACACAGTCTGTTATTGATCAAGACCTCCATGCGGTCAATTGGCTACGTTCACATTACCAGGTTGAAGTGGCACAGATCTGATTTTTTGCCCTAATGTGACTCAGGTCTGATGTTTTCAGAGCTGTGTGGACACGCAAATCTGATCTCTTCAAATCCGACCTGAGTCACTTTCATATGTGGTCCTATATTGGATACGTATCCGTGGCCATGTGACCTTAATAGCTACATTCGCATTACAAGCCTCATCGCTCAAATCCGATCTTTCTGACACGATGGTTCACACTCGTTCAGGTAAGGGATTCAAATCTGTCATTAATGTGATGAACCGGCGTCCTGAAATGACCCTCATGCGCACATCCTACTCAGTAACGTCACGTGAATGAATCACGAGCATCATCAGCACAAACTAACGAGCAGAACGAGCTTCGCTGAGAAGATAATTAACTCTGATCAGCTCTCAGCTTCATTATTAGAGCGAGACGAAGGAGAAAAAGGTGAGATGAGCTGCTTTTCCATCGTTTACAGGCTTTAACTTCTGTTCGGAGCTGCTGCCATGGTAACGCTGAATGATGGCGCTGAATAAGGTCACATGACCACAAAATGGATACGTATCTGATCTAGGACCACATATGAAAGTGACTCAGGTCGGATTTGAAAAGATCAGATTTGTGTCCACACAGCCCTGAAAACATCAGATCTGAGTCACATTAGGACACAAATTGGATTTGTGCCACTTCAGCCTGGTAATGTGAACGCAGCCAATGAGACACTCGGATCAGAATTCATGTGCTTTTTTTCCGCTGCGCCATCATTCAGCGTTACCATGGCAGCAGCGCCAAATAGAAGTTGAAGCCTGTAAACGGTGGAAAAGCAGCTCATCTCACCTTTTTCTCCTTCGTCTCGCTCTAATAATGAAGCTGAGAGCTGATCAGAGTTAATTATCTTCTCAGCGAAGCTCGTTCTGCTCGTTAGTTTGTGCTGATGATGCATGTGATTTATTCACGTGACGTTACTGAGTAGGATGTCATTTCTGGTCATTTCAGGACGCCGATTCGTTCAAATTAATGATAGATATGAATCGCTTACCTGAACGAGTGTGAACCATCATGTCAGAGAGATCGGATCTGAGCAACGAGGCTTGTAATGTGAACGTAGCTTGTGTTGGTGCAAGCAAAAGTTTTCCAGTCAGGGTACAAATCATGGGCAGGATGCTTTATTTTTATTTTTATTTTTTTTGTTTGTTTTACAGCTCATCCTCACAAATCTCAAAAATAGCAACAGTATGTAGAACAGTTATGTTCGTGAGGCTTTAGGTTCTGCAGTGGTTCTGCTAGGTTCCTAATGTTGGCTAAGTTTGTTGACTTGAGGAACATTACTGAATTCCTAACTGAAGACTTGACATTGAATAAAAGTTGTTAACACTGCATTTTGTCATCTTATGCCAACAGAGACCCAGTAGGTACTATGGGGAGGTTTACCATCACCCCTCAGAGACATTACCCCCTGCAGCAGACGGGGGCATCTTCGGTGGGCGTGCTTCCCCCAGCACAGTGGGACGGGTTCCGTAAGAAGAACATCCTCACTCAGCGCAACACACCTGTGCACAGTCCAGTTACAGTGAAGATCGCTAGACCAGACAACACGACCCGGTCATCATTGTAAGTTACAGTATTATGATGCGTGCTTAGTCTTAACCTGACACCCCAGTCCAGACTGTAATTTCCCACTGTTATAGCATAATAACATGTATTTATTAGGGATGCAGAACATTCGACCACCCAAACATTTAGGCTGAAAATGGTTTTAAAAAACAACAAAACAGTATTTCTGTGTTTTTGTTTAAAAGACGAGAGAGAGGCTGAAATATTGGCGGGTAAAAAAATAAGAGTGCATATGATTTCAGCAAGGTGTGAAAATGAGAACTTGCCCTTCCTTTTCCTCCCAGTCGGTTAGTACACATTCAGTTTGAGCAGCAGCAGATAAACAGTGTAAAACGTAATTCGGGAAGAATAACAATATCGATAAGGAATATTTGACATGATTATAATCACTGTGTATGGTGAGCATCATGAGAAGGCAGAACGCCCAAGAGCTTCTCCATTACAGGTTTAATATCACTTGAAAACATGACATCTCACAGAATACAGCCAACTGTTTTTTCTTGTCAGCTCAGTTTTGTCTTAAGCCTTGGGTTCACTACATGACTTTTAAAGTCTGAACAGATTATAAAGACTGGGCGTTTCACACTGTCAGACTGAAATATATTGGATCCACCCTAAATGATTAGAGATCACATGCTACTAAACTTTTAAGCTGCTGCTGAACTGAACTGAACAGAACTCTCGCAAGAAACAGTAAAGAAGCAGCAGGTAAACATGTTTAAGTGAGAATCAAGGATTTAAAAATGATCAGTTTTGTATTTTTTAGAGTTTTAAATGTACATAAACTTGATTGTGCCTTAAACTCAATTGATTAAAAAGCTTTGCTCCACACGTGAGACTTTTCACCATTTTTCCTTGTTTACTTGTTTTCTTCTTTCTCGCTCTCTGTTTTCATTGGCTGATGCAGGAATCCGTTCAGATTAAACCGTTGGTGAGTTTACACTAGATTTCACTCAGAGTCGGGTCGAAAAAATCAAACGTTTGATAAACTCCAACTGGTCTGTAATGAGATTAGGAGGCTAAAAATCTGAGTCTGCGCCCCTCAAACACGACGCGACTCTCTCCAACTGTCCACTCCGACTGACCCAAAAATCTGCAGACTAGAGCCGACCAGCTCAGATTCAGACTGGCTGAGAATCGGGGCTAAAATCAGGGTAAAAGTCACGAAGTGTAAAATCGGCTTTATTGAAAACCAATTTTATCAGTGATGTGTTTTCTTTATTGTATCTTTTTTTGTGTGTTCAACAGCATAAGTAATATATATATATATATATATATATGTGTGTATATATGTATGTATATGTGTGTGTGTATATATATATATATATATATATATATATATATATATATATATATATATTTTCGTTTTTTTGGCCAGGTGTGATTAGAGTTTCGGTTTCAGCCAGGAATTTTCATTTTGGTGCATCACTAGAAGTTTCTGGATAATAAGCGTCAGGATGTGGATACCTGAATGTAAATTTTAATGGGTTAAATATGATATTTGAATCTTTCCATGAGCTGTGTGCCAAAAGATCATAGTAGTTTGGTGCAGAGGTTTGATGATAACACAATTTTAATTTAGGAATATTTGAGAAGGAACGTGTTTCTGTTTCTAGTTTCGACCAGCTGAACTCCCCTGGAGCGCTCACCTCCCCTGGGTTTGGAGTCCAAGCTGACCCCTGCTCTAGAGAGACTGTGTTGAATGTGCTGAGAGAGAGCCGTAAGCGTGACGCTGATGGTGAAGACAGAGGCCATGGAGCTGGGCAGAAGAGCAAAAGGAGGTATTGAGCTTAATATAGATACCTATCACCATTTTCTCAGAAGTGCAGTACTGCAAATTTTGCATTGTTTTCTATGCAAATGGGTGTATTAATAACTCAGCCGGTCACTGAGTGCGAAAACATAGAGCAGTATTGAATTTGTTTAAAATATTTTATTGGAATTGATCATGGTATTTTGTGTAGATAATTGTTTGCACACAAGCAGTTGGGCTTCAGACTGAAACTACGGATGGTTCTAAGGGTCAGACTAGAAAATTTCTTAAATTGTGGTGTAAATTCATTATGTTATTAGTGGTGGGCAAAGTCTGATGTGTGTTGGAACAGATAAAGTAGTGCCTTGTTTAAACAATACTGTCAAAAATTAAGTTCAGTAGTTTGTATTCAACGTCTCTCATGCTGTGCTGCACCAAATCTAATTAAACAGGACTAATTATGCTCCCTTTGTAATGAAATGTGCGATTGGAAAGTGTTTTAAGTACCCGAGATATCCACAATATTCTCAGAAAAGCATATTTGGATATATTGTTCTCACAAAATTAGATTTTTTTTGTTGTTTGTCTGTTCAGATTTCTTTTCAATTTTTACCCGTCTCCAATTCCACCCGCTAGTTAGGTCTCCCCCAATCACACAAGACGCTATCAACGCTAGGAGGGTGAAGGCTAACACAGGCTTCCTTCGAGACCTGTGAAACCAGCCACCGCTTCTTTTCGAGCTGCCGCTCACGCAACGTCACTGGACAGCCGAACGCGCTCGGAGGAAAGCGCCAACCGCCAGATCTGTTACATCAGCTAACAGTCCCACCCAGAGAGAGCGAGGCCAATTGTGCTCTCTCGGACTCCCGGCTACGGACGGCTGTAGCATCACCAGGGATCGAACTCGCGATCTCCTGATGATAGGGCCAACGCTTAGACGGTTGCGCCACTCAGGTATGAGATCTGTATGAGACATCAGTCTGAACAGATCAGCTCCTAAACTGCTTCACGGCTCATCCTGAGGTAAACAATCATGACTGCCAACGAACGCCAGTCGCTCCCAGAGGATCAGCTTCATCTTCACCAGCATCACAGGAGCAATCATGAAGTTCCATTGGTTTTCCGCTGGGCTTATCACCCAGAATGTGTGTGAGCTCAACGTAAAAATAGGAAATTGTTCTCCTGCGGCCGCGGTCAAGTCATTTTTCTTTTCAAACACAGAGCATTTGCGATAAGTCTCTTCTAATTTTATGGTACAGAAACATCAGCCTTAATGTTTGAGTCTCAGCAGCGTGAAATTCTGATGAATGTCGAATTGGATTTATGTAAAAGTCGCATGAATTCCAATCTGGCTGTTCAGACTGAGTCGCATTGCCGCAGATTGGATACGTATCGGATTTCAGTACCACATATGAAAGCGTCTCAAATCGTAATTGAAAATGTCAGATTCAGTGTGTTTATCTTTTCACACTGACACACAGACACACATCTGTGTCACATATGAAGAAAAACATTGGATTTGGGCCACTTTTACCTGCTGTGTAGACAAAGCCTTAGAGTCCAGTGTTTTTTGTTGATTATAATTTGGGATTAGTATTTTTCTGCTGACTCGTTCTTTTTGTTTTTTGTTCATTATTTTCCTGTAGTTACAAAAGAACAGCTCAATTAGAAATCTCTAACTTCTCCTTTTCAGGCGGCATGACAGCAGTGGAAGTTCCCAGTCAGCGTTTGAGCCGCTGCTAGCAAACGGCGCCCCATCACAGCTTGTGCCAAAGTAGGTTACATTTTACTGTGCGCTCATATTTCCATGTCAGCACTTGCTATTCAATCCCATTGATATTATGAAACCAGGTTTCCAAGCATTGACAAATCAGGGTCATAGATACAGTATCAGAGCATAAAACGTGTAGTAGCAGTCTCAGTCTAAGCTTGTTCCTCTTCACTCACTAGACCTGGAAGTTTAAAGAGGGGGTTGAACGCCTCTGTGTTGGAGGAGTCCACAATGAAGCGATCTCGCGCCTCCTCCATAAGTTCAGTGAGTGGTGCTCCTACTTCCTTTGGCGTGCCAGGATCTGTCCGCAACCCCATTCGCAGCTCCTACAGCTCTTCCCAAGGCTACACACAGGTAATACACCTCCCTCCCCAATTTAATATCTTTTCAGAACTTGGACCATATCAGTGTCTGAAGTGGACTCTAAGACCGCTGAGTCATGGTTTCTTTCGCATATGTGAACATGCCAAGCAAACTCGGACTCTCTAAATGGAACCCACCACGGCAGACACGCAGGGTTTCGCGCAAAATTGTGGCAAATAGAAGAGCAGCAGTTATGTCTGGTGGCTCCTCTCGCCACCTGAAAGGTTAGATTTATCAGAGAACACTGCCCACTTTGCAAACACTGCGTTCACCGTGAGTGCTGTGAAAGGGGTCTGACTTCTAATGGAGTTGTGGTCTGAGATCTCATCGGTGCTAAAAAGGACCAGAAAGAAAGTCGTCGTTATAGTTCACTTACATTGTGAACACAAAAAGAACTGAGGTCATTTGCAGTTGGTTCCCTTTCAGGTTCACTTTAACAGAACTCAGTTTGGTTCTTTTAAAACTAAATATATGTGAAAACACTTTCAGACCCCTCTAAATGGCCCCAAAAACGAACCTACAGTTCACCCCAGTCCGCTTTTGCTTTACTTTACGCTGAAGACCTCGAGGCTCAGCGTACACACAGCCACAGCCTACAGCACTTCAGCAGGTAAAAACAGATCATGTTTCCTTCCAATTGTGCGTGATGCACTTTGGCCAATCATTTCCGTGCAGCCAATAGGAGAGCAGCAGACATGTCTGGTCGTTCCTTTCACCACCTGAAAGGTCAGATTTATCAGAGAACGCTGCCCGCTTTGCAAACACTGCGCACACCGTTTTTTCACAATGCACAAATCAGTCGAACCACAAAACGAACTACTGATGAAGCGAACTGAGACCAGCTCGAGAGGGGGTCTCGGTTCGGTTTATTTTTGGGGCCATTCAGAGGGGTCTGAGTTTATTTGCCGTGTTCACATTTGCACAGAAAACGATGACTCAGCGTCCACTTCAGACACGGAAACGGCCCAGTTTGCTAGTTTAGAGCTACAACAATGGATTGACGAAGTGGTAATACTGGTAGTGCTTATGCTGCATCCAGCACTATATTAGTTAAAAGGTGAAGGTTGTGCGTGATCAAAAACTCAAATATGCACTTTTACATCATTTTAAAAAGCTTCTTGTGAACTGTAACAGCTCAGCTGTCATGGGTAAGCATATTAGAGGAACCCATTACATTCACAGCAGAAACTCAGCATTAACTAAAATACTCAAACCTTAGCAAAGTGTCAAAAGTACTGTGTCCATGTCTGCATTTCAGCTAGTTTTGCTTTAATTTAATAGATAGAAAAATTAACATTTTCAGCTGAAGAATGAGTTACAGATAGAAATCATTTGACTAAAACTGTTCTATGCTAGTAAAGACAATCTTTGAAAATTAAAGGTGAAGCTTTACAGTGTTACACTGTACATAAAACAAGCTATTTGGGCCAAGTAGATGCAGCTATAGAGCTCCAAGTGTACTTTAAACAACAACAGAATAAAATAAAATCAAGCTACCCCCGAACTCGCTGTTGGGGAGATACTAATGTGGACAAATCGCAGTCAGGCAGAAGCCTCAGAACAAAGAACATGGTTATTAGGAGTTCTGCATCAGACAAACTCAAACCACCACATCATTTATTCATATTGTGAATGAGGATGTTATGTCAAGTAAGAGAGCATCAAGTAAATCACCACTTTGTGTCTGCAGAGGAGAGCAGCGTCTAGTTTGAGTTTGTCTCCTCTCACAAGCCCTGGATCATCTCGGTGTCAGACTCCTGAGAGACTGGCTAAAAAGCCCAGGTATGTGCACACATTGGGATGATGGCCCTAAAAATGGCCCATCAATCATGCATATAATTGTATTCTCATGTCTTTCTTTTCTATCTTACTGTTGTACAGATGAATCATTATTTTTGTGTGTTGTAGGGAAGAAGATGCAACGTCTCCAAGTTCTGTTTCTTCCATGAAGTCTGATAAGACAGCCACTGACCTCGCTCCTGGCTCAGGTGAGACTTTTTGTTTTTGTATACTAGCCATATTCACTTCATTTAAGTGAATATGGCTAGTATACGTGTGTTTTCACTCAAAACACTGGTTCTTGCACAGCAGTCCTAATCCAGCTCAAGAAGGGCTCGATAAAAACCTGAGGACCTGAAGCAGGGAGTCATTGAAACTGTGCAAGGCAGTCGTTCTCCAGGACTGGAGTTGAGAACCCATGATTTAGTACTCCTTCATGCTGAACAAGAGGTTTAAAAGAAGGCTGACGAGAACGGTCACTATTTGGATCTCTGATAGCAACGTTATTACATAGTATTTTATTTTGATTCATTTTTATGGGGAAACTACAGGATTCGAAAAGATTCAACTGATTTCACTTGTAAATCATTACAGATCAATGCAGTCAACTGCATAAAGATTACTGTGTAATTGTACAAGGTCTCAATATGAACCTCCTCTAGCTGTACAGACAACATCAACACCATAGTCAAACTCATCCCATACTGGATTGAGCGTGTCGGGTGTCGCTGCACTCACGGCTCTTTCAGTGCGATTTCGGAGATCATCCAGTGTTGTGGAACCAACGACGAACGCTCTGAGCTGTTGGAGCTTCACTGCCCACGAAAATCACACTGCACAGTTATGACGGATTCACTCTTATTGAAGTGGAGAACGCAGAACGCTTTCTGCTCAGGGGTCGCATCTCCTCTCAGACTGAAGGGAGCCATCTTCCACTGACAGTCAGAAACTCTATGACCCCCTCTTTCAATTGAATTGTGATTGGTTCCTCGGCGCCTCACGGTTGTAAAAATATGGCGCTTTGAAATTGGATGAATCTTTTTGAATCACCCTGTATTTATAGCAGGGGTGTCAAACTCCACTAAAAGGGCCCTATTAAAAAATTTTTAGCAAATTCATGGGCCAGCTCTGTTTTTATTTCATTTTTGCTTTTTTTTAACATTTTGCCGTGACCCAAACGAGCCACTGTTTTTTCAAAACTGCAACAGCAAAATAGGCCTTGAATACTTATTCAAAAATAATTCTAAATAAATATGCATTTTTAGGTAGTCTTTTGTTTTTGTGTACCTGCTGGCCTATAGATTGTTGTTGAGGAAGGGGGTCAGAACGCATACTATGCTGCAGTGCATGGTGGGGACTGTAGTGCAGCTCAGGGTGAAACGGGCTAATAGGAATAGAAAATTTAAAAAAGATTTGTGGCCGAATAGGACCGTGTCACAGGCTTCACTTGGCCCATGGTCCTTGTGTTTGACACGTGGGATTTATACTGTATGATGTAGTGTTTGAAAGGTGTGGTATGAGTTTAATGAACAGAAACACAATACACTGTGCTTGTCTTTTTTAGGGAAACGTAGCCCTGTGCCTGAAGCCCCTGTTACATCAGCATCAGACTCTGGAGGAAGCGGTGGCAAACGCAAGCGCAAGATCCAGCTGGTGTCCACACGGAGAGGAGACCAAATCTCTATGGTGAGTGTGGCTCCACGGCTCTTGACGTAGTAGTTTTATGCTTCATTTAAACGTGTCCGTTGTAAGGTGGATAGGTCGTTCACCACCTGTGATTTGGGTTTTTTCCTCTTCAACTCTTCTCAGTGAAACAGAATCTTGCTTCAGTTGAACTGAATTAATAAGAACTTTTTTTTTCTAGCCTCCACCCCCTGAGCTGGGCTACACAATCACTGTGAAGGACCTGGACATGGAGAAGAAAGCTGCTCTCAGCCAAATCCAGAAAGTCCTCGAGGAGCCCGGTGAGTGCTTATATTCTTTAAAGGCTTGATGTACTACAGGGCAGGGGTCGGCAACATGCTCTTCCATTTATTTTAACAGTAAATGGTCTTAAACGCTGGAGTTAATGTGTAACTACTAATTCACTGTATAACCCTGAAGATCAGCGCAGACTGCTCGTCACATAGCAACGCAGACAAGACTCTCGCCTAGCTAGCTAGTCGGTAGTAGCTAAAGAAAAGGCAAAGAGAAAGATTTAAGACTAACATTGATAATTTGATGACGAATGGATTAATATAATCACTCCAGCTGGTTCCCTTACATGTTTAATCTGCAATGAGAAACTGTCAGACACTAATGTCATGAGGCTGAAGTCAGTTTCTCATTCGCCAGCATCTAATTCGATTTTCCTGTTCCACCTTAACCTCTTGTTGACCAGGGTATATTTTGGTTTTTCTGTGTGAATTTACATGACCAAATCGTAAGGCGAATTATTCAGTAACTGCATGAAATAAATGTAAATTTTTATTTTATTCTATTTTTATTTTTTGTAAAAGTTCCCTTCAAATTAACAGAACCTGTGTTTTATGATACACACATTGCTATATGCTTACAATTTACTGCTGAAAGCCAAAAATCTGAGACGCTCTTTGTATTATTTTATAAAAGTAATTTTTACAGAGCAGATCACTGAAGAGACGCCATCTGTTTATAGTTTATAGCCCAGATTTGTGGAAAAATGGGTCGACTTACAGTAGAAAAAAAAATTGAGAGTTCAGCTTCTTTTATTATAAGGGTTTAAAATTACATCACCATCTGTTTGACTGGAAAGAAGAGTTACAGCTCTCATCAGGCACCATTTAAGGTGGAACGGGAAATTTTGAACAAGAAGCTGTCGAGTGAGAAGCGACCTCAGCCTCGTAAAAAGTAGAGACATTGAAAGACATTTTAGAAGGAAACTGTTCTACTTTTGGAAAACTTTCCTGCTGGAGATGTGAGAAAAGCGGCTATAGCTGAACTAATGCTTAAAGCGGAGCAAAGCGGTGTTTTAGTTTATATTATATTTTTAGGTCCATACTAACACATTATTAGTATGCACTGAGACATATTGGACGAAATGGCCCTCCCCCTGCTATGGGGGAAAGAGAAAGGGAAGTAGTAATTTCTGTTAACATGTGTTAAAAACTTTAGAAGCGTTTTTATTATAATCCGCTGTATAATACAGTTGGCATTTGCAGTGATTGATCTTGATTAGTTTTGTCACACTGTAATTGTGCACCCAGATGCTGCTAACTCTCCTTGTATTGTTTTCTCAAGAGCCAGAGAAGCCAACTCCTGCACCTGCTCCTGCTCCTGCTCCTTCTGTAGGCCTTTTCTCACCACTAGCTCCAACCTCCTCAACTGCAGACACCCCTGCTGTGAGCACTCACCCTCTGGTGTCTCTCCCCACCCCTGCTGCCACACCTACACTTCCCTCCACCACAGTTTCTACTCCAGCTCCAACGATCGATCTCACGGTGACTCCAGCAAGCACAGCCAGTGCTGCGTTGACCCTGATTACCACCCCTGCTGCTACCACCACCACCACCAGCAGCACTTCAGCTGCCACTCTCCCAGCTCCAAGTCTGGCTAACCCACTACTGGAGTCCCTTAAGAACATGAAGAACAATTCCCTGCTCAGTGCTCCTTCTCCTCTGGCTGCTATCTCTGCAGGTACACTGGTACAGCTAATCTCAAGAGTGTTGAGCCATACAGATATGGATTAGTTAAGACCAGCGTTTAGTAAGGCCAGTCCTCACGGCCCCAACAGACGGTCCGTATGTTTTTACTTCATCCCTGTGGAGCAAAAATGTAGACAGTCACAGGAGCTCTGAGGACTGTGTTGGGAAACAGTAGCCACATTTACATGCACCCTAATAATCCATTAATAATCTGACTAATAGCTCAATTGGAATAGAATACGTCCATGTAAACACTTCAGTCGGAATAGTCTAGTCCAATTGAGGCCATTCGGAATGCAGTTTCTATCCGACTGATCGAGGTGGGTAATCCTGTAAATAATCTGTTAAATAGAAGAATAATATCCGTGTAAACGCCTGTATCTGATTACATTCCCTATCGGAAAGTTTAAGTCCGTTCTGATCATGTTCGTCACGTCATAGTGAAAGGTTATACCGTTCAACATGGCGGAGCAGAAACTGGTCTGTAGACGAGACGAAGTTTATGCTCTGATCTTTAAAAGACGGCGGTGGGACGGACGTCCAGCTTATGTGTCTCAAAACACGACGTCTTTTTCCTGGCCTTTAATAAGTAAATGTGAGTCTGACGTATTTTTAGAGCAATTTAAAACACAAGCGCGCCAACTGAAAACTCATCTCACTGACTGGACCTCACTTGAGGTTTGCTGTCGTGGTAACGTTTACTCTAATTGGTTCTCCATTTTTGGATCGGATTACTTGTAGTGAGCATGTAAACAGAGATTTTCCATCAGATTGTTAAATAGAGTGAATATAAACACCTCAGTCTTAATCTATAATCAGAATGTATTCAATCGGTTTGGCAAAATCTTTGCATGTAAACAGACACTGTGACTAAAGAGCTGTTTTGGATGTACAGCTGTTTGGTGGAAAACAATAAGGAGGGGGTGTTGTGACGAAATTATAAACTTTGTTGGAGCACAAAATAATTAACCTTATTGACCGACTGACCAATTTTCAAAGCAAGGTTTCCACTCAAGTGCAAGTGAATCTATAGGTGAAGTGGTCCTGGGAGGTCTTATGGGAATAGTTCAGCACTGGTTAGAGGCAATATTTTGGTTATTTTATAGAGTGTACATTGTTAGTGTGATTATTCAATTTTTTTTTATCTGAATTTATCTGGATATCTGGCCCAGCCATGTTTCACTCAATTTCAGTCATATTATCAGCAAGTGGAGCATGTTAAGCATTGATATTCTATTCTTTATCATACATTTTTCATTAAAATGAATGGTCATGCTTCTGTTTCTCATAAGTATTTCTTCCACTCTGTTCATACCTCCAGCAGCACCTGTGGTGGCGCAGATTCCTACCCCGGTTGTCTCCACTGGTCTAAGCACCGGAGCCGTGAAATCAGAGCCTGTTCTTGCTGCTCCACAGCCCACAGTGTCAAACTCTCTCGCCCCAGCTACGCAACCAGCCACCTCCATGCCCTCTGCTTTTGCCCAGATCCTGGCCCAGCCACTGCAGCCATTGCCCAGCACAGTCAGTCTGGGAGGGAGCAGCCTCTTCAGCCTGCAGCCTGTGGCAACCCTTGCGTCTGCTTCACCTACACCTACTGCGTCTATTGCCCTTACAGTGGCTGCTAACAGTGCAGCCAGCCCAGCACCATCCGGGTTCAAGCCTATTTTTGGGGCAGCAACCACAGCGCCAGCATCGGCTACAGACGTCAAACCCACTCAACCCACTTTCAAGCCCATTTTCGGTAGCACTGCAGGGGGTGGTGTTAGTGCATTTGGTCAGCCGGCGAAATCAGCTTCCTCTGCACCAGCAACACAGAGTGCTACATCATTGTTTGGGAGCCTGACCAACACCCAGCCAACAGGTGCCTCTGCCGCCTCATCCACACCCGCCACCCAGGCTCCCAGCCAGTCTCTGTTTGGAAGCTGGAGCGCCACATCTGCTCCAGCCCCTGCTCCAGCTCCAACTTCTGCTCCAGCTCCAACCGTAAACAGCACCTTTCAGTTTGGAGCATCGTCATCTACACCTGCTGCCTCAGGTCTTAGCACTAGTACCACCACCAGTAGCAGCGCCACCGCCACCTTCCAGTTCGGTGCTGTAAAGCCTCCACAGACTGCTGCTCCAGCGGCTCCTCAGAGCACATTCACATTTGGACAGACGCCCGCAGTACAAAACTCTACCACCACCCCTTTCGGAGGGTTTGGCATGGCAAGCAATACCGCCACCACAACAGCGAGCGCTCCTACGACCCAGGCCACCTTCGGTAGCTCTGCGTTCAGCACATCTATGTCCTTCCCCAACGCAGCCACTCAGGCACCTGCTGCAGCAAAGCCTTTCACGTTTGGTGCTAGCACCGGAGGCAGCACAGCCACACCATTCGCATTTGGCGCACCCGCTAGCACAGCAGCACCTGCATTCGGGACTCCTAGTCAGCCTACGTTTGGCAGCACCTCAGCTGGCTTCTCTTTTGGGAACACCACCACCCCATCAGTGGCTCCAGCCTTTGGGGCAACCACACAGACTGCTGCCCCTGTTCCGGCCCCCGCCTTCACCTTTGGAGCGGCTCCAGCCACTCCACAGAACTCTGCCCAGAGTGCTCCTGCCCCAGCAGCATCTGGGGGGTTCAATTTCACCGCATCGCTGTCAGGAGCACAGTTTGGAACACCAGCTCCTCCAGCTCAGACTCCAGGGTTCACGTTCGGCGCAAGCAACACTGATAACAAGCCTGCTTTTGGTGGGTACATAGGTTTTCAAAGAGAAAGCCGTCACCAAATAACTTACCAAAGTCTAACTCAGCCTGTAGGATGTTAGTGAATAGTGTCATTTGTTGCTTGTTTGCAAGGTCAGATTTTTCTAGTGTGTTTTGTGGTTTGAGTCTAAGTTCACTGTCTGCTTCTGACTCTGCTTTGATGTATGGATGAATAACACACTGTGCTTGTACAGGAACATCCACCCCTGCATTCGGCAACACAGGCGGCCCCATCCCATTTGGCAGCCCTGGGACACCTGTTCAAGGATTCAGTGCCTCACCTTTTGGTAAATATTTGGCTTTGATTTATTTATTTATTGATTTGATTGATTGAGAGCTGCCTCTGAGTAATTTGAACATCCAGGACTTCACTTGTTCAGTTGATATGTAGTGTCTGTAGTATCATCTTATCTCAAACCACAAAAACCTAACCTACAAAATGTTTTAACAGCGAAGGCCTTTAAAAGGGACAGTGATGGTTACTATATGGAAAATGTGAAAAATAAATTATAGCTGGTTTAGTTTAGGCAGCCTTGTCACCTCACCTCAGAGAGTAATGCTTTGAAGCTAAAAGACCAAAGATACTTGAGCAAACGTGGAAACTAAATTATTAATGGTAAGGAACATGATCAGAAGGTGAATCACGTCAAATGTACACCGAACATTCTGACCACCTCCTTGTTTCTACGCTCATTGTCCATTTTATCAGCTCCACTTACTATATAGGTGCACTTTGTAGTTCTACAGTTACAGACTGTAGTCCATCTGTTTCTCTGATACTTTGTTACCCTCTTTTTACCCTGTTCTTCAGTGGTCAGGACCCCCATGGACCCTCACAGAGCAGGTACTATTTGGGTGGTGGGTCATTCTCAGCATGACAGTAACACTGACGTGGTGGTGGTGGTGTGTTAGTGTGTGTTGTGCTGGTCTGAGTGGATCAGACACAGCAGTGCTGCTGGAGTTTTAACATTTCTGTAGTGTTATGTGAGTTGTCATGACAAGCTAATGTAGGTGTCATGTAGCCTTATGAACTGTCTACAAAACCTACAGTAAAGTCTTATTCATTCATCCATAATCTAACCTGCTCACCCTCCCGGGTTAAGGGCATGCTGGAGCCTATCCCAGCACTCATTGTGCGGACGGCAGGAAACACCCTAGACAGGTCGCTGATCTATCACAGGGCATCAGACATCACACAAACACCTAGGGGCAATTTAACATTGGCCTGTGGGAGAACACAGGGAGAACGTGTAAGCTCCACACAGAAAGGACCCTGGTTGCCTGGCTGGGGAACTGAACCCAGGCCCTTCTTGCTGTGAGGTGACAGCGCTACCCACTGCACAATGAAACACTGACGTGGTGTGTTAGTGTGTGTTGCGCTGGTCTGAGTGGATCAGACACAGCAGTGCTGCTGGAGTTTTTAAACACCTCAGTGTCACTGCTGGACTGAGAATAGTCCACCAACCAAAAATATCCAGCCAACAGTGTCCTGTGGGCAGCGTCCTGTGACCACTGATGAAGGACTAGAGGATGACCAACACAAACTGTGCAGCAGCAGATGAGCTATCGTCTCTGACTTTACATCCACAAGGTGGACCGGCAAGGTAGGAGTGCCTAATAGAGTGGACAGTGAGTGGACACAGTGTTTAAAAACTCCAGCAGCACTGCTGTGTCTGATCCACTTGTGGGAGAAACAGATGGACTACAGTCTGTAACTGTAGAACTACAAAGTGCACCTATATAGTAAGTGGAGCTGATAAAATGGACAATGAGTGTAGAAACAAGGAGGTGGTCAGAATGTTATGCCTGATTGGTGTATTTACATTAATACTTAGCCGAGTACCACTATTCTCTGATGAGGATGTTTTGAAATCAGGGAGCTCAGAGCCTCAAACCTGTTTGTTTTGGCAGTGGATGAGGAGGAGAACACCAGCGCTGTTGCCACCTCATCCAGGGTGGTCTTCTGCGCATTCAGTTGGCCGTATAGTGTCCAAAGCTTCTGTCCTTTCCTTCACTATTTGTAGCTCGGCTATGACTGAGCTCAGGTCAGCGTGTGTGGCTTTCTGTGATTCTCAAAAAAAAAAAAAAAAGTGAGCTAGCCAAATGAAGTGACTGAGTTTCGGCCTGCCCTGTTAACACATCATTGCCCTTTACTGCAGTTCAAAATATGTCCAGAAACAAACTGTTTGATCATGATTATTTTTTTTAAGGTTGAATTTTGTAAATGCGTATTTGAAGCCTTTAAAATGCTGTTTGGGCCAGCCTTTATTAGTTTTTAGTGAGGAAGGACACAAATGAGGGGGGTTTTATTTACATAAAATAAAATCCAAGCTGTGTGTTTAATCCTGTGCTGATGCCTAGTAGGCTTAACTTGCAGTCTTGCTTTGTTGGACTTGAGACCTGTTCGAGCTGGATTAGTTTTACCAGAGGAGGTTTGGTAGAGTAACTTGTGTGATTTTAACTGGTCGATTCAGATGGGGGGGGGAAAAGCATCTGTCATTTCCTCAAAGTACCCCAAATAGCCCAGATTGAAGCATCACACGGACATTTGATAGCATTATGCGATGGGTGCCACACATCAGAAGAGTAACAACACGTTGTGGGGCTAAATGGCAAATGGAGACATTTCCTTTTCCCTTTCTCCTTGTAATCCGACCATCACCTATGTTTAATTGCAGTAGTCTTGTCCTGAATTTGAGAAATAAGAAATTGGCACAAATCTAGCTCTATTTTTAGCTGTTAGCCTTGTGTTCAGGTCGCAAACAAAGAGGAGGTGCTGTTTTCTATTGACAGTTTTCTGTTATTACATTACTGTGTCAATTAGAACAGGACTACTGTTACTAAAGGAGCTCACAGTTCGACGAATTCTAGAACGTAATTCGCTCCAGAATTATTACATGGCAGATTCATACTGGTTTAATATCACAAATCTTGTTGGTAATCACTCAAATTACAGCACCTTCCTGGTAAAACTAATCCAGCTCGAATTTATTTATTTTCTTGAACTCTCTTTATTCTTTACCCGAGTTTTGAGTTCCATGAGCATGAGAATCATTCCGTGAGCGTGTTTCTTTTCCAGGCACTCCTCCAGCTACTTTCTCAATTGGTGCGGGCTCCAAGCCCAGCGGGACACGGCAGAGGCTGCAGGCGCGCAGGCAGCACGTGAGGAAGAAGTAAGAGTGACCCGAGGCCTCTTCCTCAACCTCTTGTTTATTTGGACAAACGCAACGCCCCTCCTGACTATCCCAGCCGCTGCCGCTACCACCTACGCTGCTGCTAATGAGACTCGATCAGGCTTAACACAGGACACATCTGACCAAACTGTACAGCTCTGTAGTCAGTAGGGCTGGTCAGATGATGAGGTTCGAGGATAACCGGTTACCCTTATCCCTGGTCCAGGGCAGGAGAGATCGGAACACCCAGATCTTCCTGGGTGGAGTCACTATCTGACGAATAAGTAACGTGAGGGGTGTTTGGACAAACAGAGCTAATCGTTGTACTTGACAAAGAAAACTAGGACAATAGACGATTCAAAACTTGGACGTAAACGTGAACATGTGAAGTCCAGGCCAAAAGAAACTCAATCTGGTTTTGACTCACAATTTTGTGTTTTTTCTTTTTTTGTTTGTTTTTTTTTGGTTGGTTTTTCAGGGTTTTTGTGTTAGTTTGGGTTTTTTGTTTTTTAAAAAAAAACTAGCTGCCCGTATAACCTACCTTTTTATGTGATCAGATTCATGTCGCGTTAAATTTAGCGAATCCCTTTTTTAAAAATTCTTGCCATCAACACTTCCAACAGTACAAAATACTTTTAATGCTTTTGATCATTGACTGAATTGCTTGCTTGAGTTGCCCAAGCCGGCTGTGGTAAGACTGTGTTTTCGTAGAAAGATGGAAAGATGTTCTACTTTACATGAGTTGCAAAATAAAGTTATTTGGTTTTTCATTGCTTTTTCTGGCAGATCCCTTTAAACAATAAATAAATAAATAGATAAATAATAGTAATAATAATAAGATTGGAATACCTGCGTTCAGGAGTAGATGATGCTCATGGTCACTTGTCAGACACGTAGAAATGAACGTTTAAACCAAAGCGGATGATTTAGTGCAACAAGCTCTTCTGTGTTTACCACCATTTGTGTGCTATTGGCTATTTGACTACCTCTCCTATTTTAAGCACCTGATTCCATAAAATGTTACTTACCTCTCTGTTAACTGACAGTCTGATCCGTAAAGGTCCTCCGCTTGGAGTTTTTTAGACATTTAGGATATTCCACTATCATTGAGGCAGAGATTAGGCCTAATTCTAAATTGTTTTTTATTTTTGTTTGTTTGATTAAGCTTCAGCGATCATTTCAGTGCTTCGATGTGCTCTCTTACGTTGTTTTGTTTTTTTTCTCTCCCTCTGTTTTCATTCAGAGCCAATACCTCACAGTTCAGCCATGGCTGTAATGAACTAATGGGCTTTCTAAAGGGTTTAGCCTTCTAATACAGATTCCCTAAGGGTCATTCAGATTCAAGCCTAATGCGTGTCCACCTTGCTCTTTTAACAGTTCTCGATGTTGGGCATGGCTTCACCTCCCTCGCACACAACTTCTCCTTTTTGTCATGTTTATTTTGTTTTTCCTTATTCTGTGTGCCTTAGTGCATCTGACTGCAGATTATGTGCTGTGAATGATGTCAGAGGTCTGTTTAAGTAACAGGAGTACTTGAAAGTGAACGCAAATAGGAGACAATTGGCAAGTAATATCGCGCTGTTGGAAGAAAACTTCATATCTCCAAATGGTAACTTTACAGGAGAAGGAAAAAACACACTTTACTTTTAATGTAAGTCAGTGGAACCAGAATGTTTTCCAAGTCATTTTAGGTCATTTCTTTTGGTCCATTCATCATGAAATTTACACACAATGTAAAGGGCAGCAGGTATTTTCAGATTATGTCAAAAACAGAAAAAGATACGAGGTTTTCTTCCGACAGCAGTGATATGTTAACTTCTCTTTGGCGACTTCTCTTTGGCTAGTTACTGATCTCAGGGGTTCGGTCCATTTTAAAGCTGGTCTGTGAATTTCTTTGGAGCTCGGTTCAGCGACGGCAGAACTTTTATAACCATGTGATTGGAAACGACGTATGAAAACGTCAGACTTCAATGCCAAAAGTGCTACAGTGAAAGGAGCGAATGAAAGCGCAGGGAAAGGCGCTTCATTGTAAATGAATGTGATCTAAAATTTATTTCTGAATTAAATTAGAATTATGAGCTGTTTTATTTGAAACCCAGATCTAATTTTAGAAAAGTTTTTTTTTGTTTGTTTGTTTTGTTTTTTTTTGCATGCACATTGTTCAAGACTTAGCTGTGTATGTACGCTATGGCTTGTGCATGTTTGTGATGTTATGTTCTGCCGATGCTACGATGCAGTGAGAACTACTGTCATTCCTTCAGGATGGTCAAAGGCACGGGAGCTGAGTAACTAAGCGTCTTACGATGAATTTGAATTGCTATCAGTCTATTGATTTGACCACCTGAGCCCCTCACGTTTTTGCAGTCTTATCTATGAAACTCTCAGGTGTATTTCCAGCGTTTGTCACTTTTCTTTGTTTTATGTCCATTTAAGTTTTGTCTATTTACAGAGCACAGGAGTCCATAAGTTTCAAGATGCACAAATTTAGGAAGCACAACACCCCCCATATGTTTACCTGGATCAAATCCCATGTTAACTTTATTCTGTACACAACTGTGTTGGCGCCTTAGCCCCTAGTATGGTATTCTTTACGTGAGTCTTAACTGACTAAGTAGTTTGTAAATAAGTTAAAGGTTTCTGTGAGCCCAGGACGATGGGAATAGCTGCGGGGGACCAGGCTGAGCCCTACCAAATAACCTGAACAGATGAGACACGTTGACTGTTGAGAAAATGAGATGTATGTTGAGAGCTGGTTTTCTCAAGCTGTGAGTGTCTGGGAGTTGTATTGTGCTTTTTTTTGTTTTTGTTTTCCCCAAAATGTTGCTGTAAGTGTGTTTATGAGGGCAAGTTTGCGTGCGTGTGTGTGTACACAAAGACCATTTTGGATGAATCCATGGAAGCGAGAGTATGAATGTGTATGAATGACTGGGCAGCGTATTAGAATAAACCCTGTGTCTGCTCAGTGTTCTGGTGGTATGTGCTGGTTTTCAATAAAATTGTGATGAAGTCTTTGCTTGGATTAGAAATATGGAGATTTGATGTTAATTGCTGATCTGGGTACAGTGGTTTATTCCAGTATTGAAAAATTTTTTTATAGTACTGACAATTACTGCAGTACCATAGTATGGAAAATTATTTTTCAGTAGCTGGTCCAGGAGTGCCCAGTCCTGGCCCCGGAGAGTTCAGATTAAACACAGCTGACTCTTAACATTTAAATGCACCTAAAGGCCTTAATTACCTGGGTCAGGTGTGTTTCATTAGGGCTGGTGCTGAACTGCAGGCTCGTAGAATTCCAGGACCAGGATTAGGCAGCCTGGACCTAGTCAGTCTCATCAACATCAGTGAGCCAATACGCATTCTTATTCCAAAATCCAGACTGGTTGTTGGCTTATAAGCTATTATTTTTATTATATATATATATATAATATATAATAATATATATAATATATAACATTTTACAGGAGAAGGTAAAAAACCTACTTTACTTTCAATCTGAGTCAGTGGAACCAGACTTTTTCCAAGTAATTTTGGGCTATTTCATCATGAAATTGACACACAGTGTAAAGGCCAACAGGCATTTCCTAATTATGTCAAAAACTGAGATACGAGGTTTTGTTCCGACAGCAGCGATACATAGTGTGTGTATGATAGATAGTCATGGCACCATATATGACCCTTACCTTTACTAAACCTATAAGGAACCCAATTTATTTTAAAAGTTGCGCTACATAGTCTAGTCTTCAAAATTAAAATTTTAGCTTGTTATGACGCTGCTACATTTTTGGTAATAAGAAATTTTTTTTTAAAAAGGTACATAATTTTGTTTTTGGAAATCTAGAGTGTTCCCATCCTTTTTTTAACTATATAAATGTGTTTATATATTTATTTAGTGTCATGGTATTTATATATTTATATTATATATAAACCCCATGCCTTTACTAAACCTACAAAGAACCCAAATTTTTTTAAAGGTTGTGCTGGATAATCTTCAAAATGATAAAATCCTTGTAATGATGCTGCGATGGAAACATGGCTGATAACTGATTGTTTTTGGAAATCTGAATTATTTACAAGGGATTACATCCCTCACATACATGCATACACATACACCCCTATATATATATATATATATATATATATATAATATATATATATATATATATATATAATATATATATAAACCCTTTTTGTATTTAAAATAGTGTACTGAAATATTCTGAACAATACCCAGCCCTAAGTGTCTGCAGTGCCTATCTTCACAAGATCTGATGTCACTGAAGACTCATTCTCATTCAACATGCCAGATGTAAACAGCTATAAGTTTCCCTGCCCACTTGTGATCAGACCACTTAAGACAGATGTTAATACCAGGTGTAAACAGGGCCTAAGATTCTCTAAGCTACCCTCTTAAAGCATAGTAGCCATAACCTTATTTCAGGAACCCTCTTTAAGCTGGCACCAAGACTGAACACTCACAAAGACATAGTCACACATGGCTTTATGTAACATAAAACACACCATACATTACAAATAGTATGATAAATGGAAAACAGAATTTTTAAGATTCCTGCTTTCTGTGTTTCTTTCGGTTCCTCTTCTTTTTCTTCGTGGTGAAATGTTGAGGTTGTTCCACAGAGATCTCACTGCTGGGTCGCTGCGTTTGCTGCTCCTCACCACCAGTAGGTGCACTTGTGTCCAAATCCATGGCAGATGGCCTGTGAGGAGAAAGGTATAACAATCAGACTCTCGTACGATTTTAGCCACTGAAACATTCAAAATCCATCTGCAGGTCGCTGGTTCGAGACCAAAGTTCAAATGACTTACGCTATATTAAGGCTTTCTCCGCTGCTTGGAGTCGTCTGCCTTTCCAGCATCGCCACAAAGAAGCCATGAGTGAGGGTTTCCGTAGTGCTGGCTCGCAGACACTGGGTCAGCGGGACGTGACCCCGCTCAGGCCACTCAGGAAAGAGATGCACTAATCTGTAGAAGGAGATGTGACATTTTACACACTGCAACTAATTAGTTAAATAATGCGAGTGTAATGGAGAAACTCCATAATACAGAACTGTGCAAAAGTCAGAGACCACCTTTCATTTATTTAATTACCAGTCAAAATCGTCATGAAGTACAAGTCAACCCCTTAAAATCCCAGGCTTATTACATACTAATGCTTATTTTTCAGTTACCACAGGGACATTAATGCAAACTGCTTGAGCTACAGTCTTAAAAAATGATGGTTCTTCAAGAAAATGGTTCTATATAGAACTATAAACACTCAAAGAACCATTTGCATGATTAAATGGGTCTCTGGTGAAATGGCTCATCAGACTGATGGAGAATGTGTTGTATATGGTTCTAGAAAGGCACCAAAAAGGGTTCTTCTTTTGTTACAAGCTTGATATTCTAACAATAGCAGAACGCTCTGTGGTGCTATATAGAACCCTTTTCAGAAACCATCTACAGCACATTCTCCATCAATCTGAAGAGCCATTTCACCATCCAGAGATCCATTTAATCATGCAAATGGTTTTTTGAGTGTTCATATCTTTTTATAGAACCGTTTTCTGTGCTAAAGAACCCTTGAAGACCTAAGCATTTTAAGTGTGTATTCTAGAAGGTTATAATATGTTATAGCAGGGGTGCACAACTCTGGTCCTGGAGGGCTGGTGTCCAGCACAGTTTGGTGATTTGCCTGCTCAAACACACCTGATTACACTGATCTGTTAATTGCCAGGTTCAGTGGGTGAAACCTCCAAACTGTGCTGGACAGTGGACCTCCAGGACCGGAGTTGTGCACCCCTGTGTTATAGAAGTGTGTAATAAAACTTGGGCCCTGGCCATTTAAGGGGTTAATAACATTCAGCATATATTTCTGAGGAGATTAGCTAAAAGATAATCCACTTATATAAAGAAAGGGCAAGTCAAAAGAAATAAAGTGAAAAAAAAAAATGTATTAAAAAGATACAGAGCATGAGGCAAATCCTGGCCCTGGAGTGTTCACATCCAGCACCCCTGACTCTAATAATGAGAAGCCCCTGAAGGCCTTTATCACCTGGATCAAGTGTCAGATTAGGGTTGGGACTTCTCCAGGACCAGGAATGGGCACCCCTTATATAGGGAAAATGGGACTCCTAACAACCATGCAAGGCCTGCTAGATCACCCAAACTGTGTTCACCAGTCGTGGGCTGGAGGTTAGGGAACCAGCCTTATGACCGGAAGGTTGCCGGTTCGATCCCCTGAGCTGACGGTACGTGACTGAAGTGCCCTTGAGCAAAGTACCTAACCCCCAACTGCTCCCCGGGGCGCCGTGGATAGGGCTGCCCACCGCTCCGGGCAAGTGTGCTCACTGCCATGAGTGTATGTGTTCACTAGTGTGCATGTGGTGTTTCACTGCACAGATGGGTTAAAACATCCCTGAGGGACTAATAAGGGTAACTTAACTTAAAACTTTCACCTCTGAGAGAGAGGAGAAAGTCAAGCTGCACTTTTGGTTCAGATCTGAAAACATGTTAAGGATTACTTGAATTGTGAGAAGCAGAAAATGCGACCAAATTCTAAGACAAAACTTTGGAGGTGTGGAAAAAAGGCAGCTCTCCCAAAAACAGTCGAGACTGTAAAAGGCAAAGGGTGAACACAGTAAATACCGAAATAGTTTTTATTATATTTAGTTGTTGAACTTTGTGTGATTTCCTCTAATATATGTTCTCTGTTTTTTTTCCTGATGCTGAAATTTTTACTAAATAGCCATTTGGACCAGATGTTAAATAAATGAAGGGTGGTCTTATAGTTTTGCTCAGTACTGTAAGGTTTATACTACCATTATTCACACAGTAAATGATCCGTAACTAAACAAATCCAGTCTCATGTTCTTATTATAAACAAAAACTTCTAGAGCCACTACTGTTTGATCTTTACCTGAATCCAGGGTTTTTCTCAAGGCAAGCAGACACAACCTCCTCGTTCTCCTGGGAGTGGATGGAGCAGGTGGAGTAGACCACACGCTGGAGCTGAGGGAACTGCAGGGCGTGGTTCAGACAGCGCAGCTGAAATGCAGCCAGCGCCTGCAGACGCTCACCGTCCTGCTCCTCTGAGCCTCCATCAGACAGGCACACCATTCCTTTGGGAATCAAGGGTATCAAATCAATATTTGTGTTAGCTCCCCGCCACGCTGCTGTAGGTTCAAGAACTGGAAAATCTTTGCATGAAATACTGCACAATTAATACATTTCAAGATTTATTCACTGAATTTCATTTTTGCATCACCAGCAACGAGTTGCAAGTAAAAAAAAAAAACGAAGTCATTTTCTCATTTGAATTTTCCCGTTCCACCTTAAATGTCGCTGCAGTTACAGTCTGGCGCCTCAGGCACCATTTAAGGTGGAATGGAAAAGAAACAACTTCAGCCTCGTAAAAAATTGAACGTTTTTGAGACATTTTACAAGAAACGTTTCTACTTTTGAGGAAAAGTTTCCTGCTGGAGATGCGAGAAAAGCGGCTATAGCTGAGCTAAAACTTAAAGCAGAGCAAAGTAAGTCTGTGTTTTAGTTTATATTTTTAGTCTATATTAGCACATCAGCACATACAGAGACAGATTTACAGCCAAGATGGTAAAACGGACATAAAATGTTGTGGCTCCCAAGGTGGTTTGATTTTTGTTGAAAGAATAAAATGTCTCTTCCTAACGTTTGGGTTGCAACTCCCTGCACTAGTACATCACACAACCACTAGGAATCCACCCCACAGCAATAAAGGAATCCTGCTAGCACAGCCACTGATGTAGAGGCTAATTAATATAGACATGATATTCAACCTCCTAGTAGTACAGTTTCTTCTGCATTAGCCAGCTAGAGACGGAACATGTGCGGCGCACACCCCTAAGTATTTTTATCTGTTTACGACAGAGACAGATTTGTTAAGAAGCTACCTGTTAGTTCTCTCTGCTGTGCACCGTAATGCTAGCTTTACCCACCCCACGGCTTCCCTCTTCTACTTATTTCAGATTCAGTTTAGCTTAAATGCATAGAATCAAACATAAATGTTGACATGCTTTGGAGTTTCAGTGTGCTTCAGTATGATTCGCTGCAGTGAAACAAACAAGTTAAAGTGACTGGATATTACCCTACAGCAGCTAGATCAAGCTGTCTTTTACGGCTGGGAAACAGGATCAGAAAAAAATAAATAACATTAAATAAAATGTACGCAAAAGATTAGAACAGTGGATTGCTATAAAATTGCCAACTGTGACTGCAGCAGGTTTCCCAGAGTGTGACTTTCCTCCTGACAAGAATTTGCAGTATTTCCTGCACAGCTTAAGTGTCCTGATGGTTTCATATGAGTTCAATAATGAAAACTGTAAAAATATAACTCTACATGGTTTTCTAAAGGTCTCCATAGCTCAACTTCAGAGTGACTCCGTTAAGATGATACAAAAAACACCTTTTAATATGTAAATCATGTAGGCATGGCTTTGGAAATCGCTTGCAGTCTGACATTTCTCCAGAGTGTTATTAGCATGCAAGTCGCCATGAATCTACACCAGAAAGAGCTCATGGATGCATGTTTGCAGTAATCTACTAAAACAACAGGGGAAGTAGTGAAAATGATCAGCAGTGCTCTCCTGAAGGGCCTGAAGCATCACCTGATCCACTGCATGATGGATCGAGAAGGATGTGCTTCACTTCCTTGTACTCTGGGGCGAGCGGATCAACCTTGAGAAAATCCTGATTGGCCAGCTGGTGACATGTGACCCCAGCACGGAGGAGAAGGGTGCTCATGGTGGACAGGCGCTTTGCATCGAGGTCGAAAGCAAACAGCTTCCTAAATTAATGAGACAAGAAAGTGAAATAATGCATCATATTACAAAGCGCTCATCATATGACAAACCTTATTCTGCCATAATCACAATACTGCACTGCATGGCTGTACCCCTTGTTTTTCATGATGGCTGCCAGGTGGCTGGTTTTGTTCCCAGGAGCTGCACAAGCATCAATGACATGACCTCCAACTGGGGGGTCCAGGAGGTACGCAGGTAGACAGCTGGCCTACAGAAACCAGCATTATACAAAGGCAACACTCACTGTGATTCAAGTTAAATCCTGTTCCTCTCCAAGTCCATATCAGTAAAATATGATATGATAAACCTTTTCACCTTGTCTTGCAAAATAAGGTGGCCTGCCTTATACAGGTAATGATTGTGGAAGTCCATCTTTGCACTGAACACCAGAAGATCTCTGAGGTGCAGGTCACCCACAAACATCTTCCCAGAGAGTTGGCACAGATCCTCGATCCTAAAGGGATACATGAACACAGATCAAAATGAGCTACTAGACTATTTATGTCAATACTATGTTTAAAAGGGCATTTCTGTCTAAAACTGCCATTCAATATGTTATTTGTTATGTTTTACACCACTCCATAGCCCATAATATCCCTCAGGCTCATCAGTTTGACAGAATTCATAATTTTGCATTCTATTTTTACCCATCAATGTTCTCTCACTACAATATCCAGCCTGCCTTACACTAGTACAGGGCTCTTTAACTGCTCTGTTGCAGCTCCACAGCAGAATTAGATGTTTAGGTAAAAATAAAATAATCCTCCTTTGCAGTAAAATAAAGCTCTGCTGATCGTTCAACAAAGTTTTAATAATAAACTCGTAAACCCTGAAGTTTGTGTATTACTGCTAATTTGCCAACCTTTAGTAGCTAACGAAAAGGCAAAGAGAAAGGTTTAAGACGAACATCGATAATTTGGAGATGAACTGACTTATTTGAGTTCATAATCACTCCAGCTGGTTTCCTGACAAGTTTAATCTCCAACAAGAAAATGTCAAACACTAAAAAGTTGCGAAGCTGAAGTCATTTTCTCACCATTTAAGGTGGAACAGAAAAATTCAAACAAAAGGCTGGTGAATGAGAAGCGACTTCAGCCCTGTAAAAAATTTCTACTTTTGTGGAAAGGTTTCCTGCCGGAGATGTGAGAAAAGCAGCTGTAGCTGAGCTAAAGCTTAAAGCAGAGTAAAGTGAGTCTGTGTTTTAGTTTATATTTTTAGTCTATATTAGCACATCAGCACATACAGAGACACATTTACAGCCACGAGGGTAAAATGGACATAAATGTTGTGGCTCCCAAGGTGGTTTGATTTTTGTTGAAAGAACAAAATGTCTCTTCTTAACATTTGGGTTGCGACCCCTGACCTAGTACATCACACCACCACTAGGAATCCACCCCACAGCAATAAAGAAATCCTGCTAGCACAGCCACTGATGTAGAGGCTAATTAATACAGACATGATATTCATGAAGTTTTTCAAAAGTTTCTCCCACCTTCAAGGCATATCATCAAAAGGGGGTTTTCCTAGTCTTTAAACTGGAAATTCTCACTCCAGTGGCTACTGCAGCTCCACTGCTCGAGTAGTTGTTAACAACAGATGTAGTAAAGTTTACACTTTTCATTTTGGCTAGAGAGCCTCTTTACAATGATCTGCTGAGAGCTCCAAGACTACAAACAGTGTGACTTGTTCACAGTTTTGTGATATAGAAATGGAAGGTAAATAAAACCATGACTAACCGTCTTGCTGTCCCTTGATATGAATACCCCTCTCTCTTCAGGTAGTCAATGACATCCTCGACAGTCGTCTTCAGTGTGTTGACACGAACATAACGTGGAATATTGTGGGCTATGGAAGGACAACATGCAGTCACAGTTCAATCTTTATTGAATATCAAGTCGGGACAACAAAACAACACCTAGACAGCACAAAACCACTATTTCTATTCTGAATCCAATCGTCCAATATAAACACCAATGCACTGCTCTTCCTTTATAAACCAGGGAGCTTTAAAATGAGCTTTTACTTATTTGAAGCACTTCCCATAACATGGCATAACATTGTACATTAGATAAATGTTCTAACTGCTCAAACTAGTCCTTTGCTTTACATTAGGTTGTGCTAATTTCAGGCCAAATTTGTTGCAGAATTGGATTGGCTTTGTTTCTTTTCCCCCCTCTCTAAATTCTGAACCAACATATTCTACTAGTATTGGCACAATAACATTACTGGGCACTGGATCTGTGAAAATCTCTTTTCATAATTCACACATGAACACTGCTGAAATCAATATGACAAACCTTTCTTGTTCTGCACACTGGGAGGGAGCAGGTCCTCATTTCGGCTCACTTTCTGCTTGACTTTAATTCGAGCCAAAGCAGCCTGGAGTCTGGAGCGATGCTTCGCCATCATGGCCTTCCATGATCCTCCGCATTTTACTCCTCGACCAAAGAGCAAGTCGTAGACCAAAACCTAATAACGCGAACGAGACATCAGAGACAGCAGGCGTCTGAAAGGGGAATTTCAGTGGTTTTGCAAAAATCCAACATAATTAAATAGTTGTCAACAAAGCAGTAGTCACAGCAGCAGTCATTGGTTTTCACTGATGACAATGACTGGTTTTCGTAGATCTATTTCTCATGTGTTACTCTGATAGGCCTCTGATAGTCATCAGTTATCATGGCTGGTTAATCTCAATACTTCTGTCCAATTACAGGCTGATTTCTTTTTCTCTATATTCAATACTGTATATCAATTGTAAAATCACATTCTCTATTTCTCTATAGCTCTTCTAGTGTTTTTGTTTTGCTATTCACTGTTGACCAGAGGAGGAAGGGTTCGCCTTTTGCTCATTTTTTCCTTGACACTGTCGCCTTGGTTTGCTCACTGGGAGTTGGACCCAGATTTTCTGTAAAGCTGCTTTGTGGCAAAGCACACTGCAAAAAGTGCTATATAAACAAATGTTGACTTAACTTCACGAAGTCATTCAGAGTGGTTTGGTGTGAAATATGCAACTGTAGAGAAACATACTGAGTCATTTGCATTTAATGCCCATGTGTCAAACACAAGGTCCAATCCTATCCGGCCCACGAAAGTATTTTAATTTTCTATTAATATTAGCTCATTTCACAATGCACTGCACTACAGTCTCCAGCATGCACTGCAACATAAAGTGCACTCTGACTCTCCTACCCCAATAGCAATCTATGGGACAGCGGTTACACCTCAATTCTACACAGTTCCACACCAGCCATATCACCAAAAAACTAACTGCAGTTCAACTAATATAAACACAGAACGTCAGCTCAGCAGCTCAGAAACTGAGCCCAGGTCTTACTGAACTTGCAGCGCAGAAAGGATGTCAGGTGTCTAGTTCAACCAAATAGGTAGGTTTAAAAGACCAAACACCTGGGGACATTTAAATTTGGAATATTTCATATTCATGTTATATTTTAAGGTCTGTACATACAGAACACCCACACAGACCCACACAGACCCACAGACATAATACCCACACAGACCCACACAGACACATACATAAGACCCACACAGACCCACAGACATAAGACCCACACAGACCCACAGACATAAGACCCACACAGACCCACACAGACACATACATAAGACCCACACAGACCCACACAGACACATACATAAGACCCACACAGACCCACACACACACATACATAAGACCCACACAGACCCACACACACACATACATAAGACCCACACAGACCCACAGACATAATACCCACACAGACCCACAGACATAAGACCCACACAGACCCATACACACACATACATAACACCCACACGGACGGACGCACACACACACACAAGACCCACACAGACCCACAGACACACATACATAAGACCCACAGACACACAGACATAAGACCCACACACACACAGACATAAGACCCACACAGACCTACACACACACAGACATAACACCCACACGGACCCACACACACACAGACATACATAACAATATGGGACTAACTCACTCCCCACTACTTGAAGTTCCAAATTATAAACACTGTATTTATATATAGTCACTGCATTTCACTGAAACACTTCAGGTGATACGACTGTAGATCTGAATACTTGCCTATATCTTTGCACATTTTACTTCACTTTAACAATGTTAGCTGCTAGAATTACTGTATCAACCAAATACTGTATACTGTATACTGCTGCTCTGGTTGCTACCTCAGTGACTGCTATGCGTTCCTGGAGGATGTTGTTTCGTTTCACTGTGTTCTTGTATACAACTGAAATGACAGTAAAGCCTGACTTGACTACATATAATACACTAATGAATGGACTTCTATTAGTGGTGGACTATTTTTGACTAATTACTATGGTGGTATGCGACTTTGAACACAGCCAAAGTGCCAACCTTAATTTTAGGCCCTTTAGGTTCACCGGTGGTTTTGGATCGTAAATAAAACGTCTACATCCGCAAACCCTGGTTGCTATCAGCACCACTGTAGGTTAAAGACATCTGAGGCGGTAAGTTTCCCAACAAATGAACCATTTTGCATCAAACCACTCTGACGGACTCTCTTTATATCTCAATAAATTATGTATAAGTTTTGAAAAATCAGAGGAATTCCCCGGAGAAATCTGCACTTCGTTAAAGAATGAGGCAAACACAGCGCTGTTAGCCACCTTTGCTAAATTTAGTCGGAGTTTGGTCTCCTTCAGAAGCCTGGTGCTCTCGATGATCTCCTGAAGCACTGATGAATACTTCTGAGTCTCACACACGAGGGCAAAAAGCTGTTTGATGTTCTGGAAAAGAACAAACATTAGTAAAGAAATTCGCCGAAAATGACAGAAACAAGACAACTAACTAGGTCACCTTACAACAGGTTAGCTCCGCTAGCTAGCTAACTTCATTAGCTAACTTCATTAGCCACATGTTTACATTCCAAAGCTAAAATGATGATATTTCAGTTTTTTATAAATATGTGGCATTTCAATTAGTATTTACATGTTTCAGGAATGCTAAAATATGAAAATATGAACATTTATGATGGTTTTAGAAACAAAGCTTCTACTTTTTTTGGTCACACTTAAATTTTCCCGTTCCACCTTAAATTGGGCAGCAGATGCAAAACTGCTGCACCATTTAATGTGAAACGGGACAAATTCAAGATAGATAGACAGACAGACAGATAGATAGATAGATAGATAGATAGATAGATAGATAGATAGACAGACAGACAGATAGACAGATAGATAGATAGATAGATAGATAGATAGACAGATAGATAGACAGACAGACAGATAGATAGATAGACAGATATATAGATAGACAGATATATAGATAGACAGACAGACAGATATATAGATAGACAGATAGATAGATAGATAGATAGATAGATAGATAGACAGATAGATAGATAGACAGACAGATAGACAGATAGATAGATAGATAGATAGACAGATAGATAGACAGACAGACAGATAGACAGATAGATAGACAGATATATAGATAGACAGACAGACAGATATATAGATAGACATATAGATAGATAGATAGATAGACAGACAGATAGACAGACAGACAGATAGACAGATAGATAGATAGATAGACAGATAGATAGACAGACAGACAGATAGATAGATAGACAGATATATAGATAGACAGACAGATATATAGATAGACAGATAGATAGATAGATAGATAGATAGACAGATAGATAGACAGATAGATAGATAGACAGACAGATAGATAGATAGACAGATAGACAGACCAATAGACAGACAGATAGACAGACAGACAGACAGACAGACAGACAGACAGACAGACAGATAGATAGATAGATAGACAGATAGACAGACAGTCAGACAGACAGATAGACAGATAATCCCGAAGGGAAATTGCAGTGTTTCAGTAGCAACACATATAATTGCCCATAAACTTACTTATACACTTCAGAAGATATAAATAAATTTAGACATAGGTTAAAGTAAAGTAAGTATATCTGTCTGTATATGTACACGGCGTATGAGACAGATTTGTTGTATTTACATGACAGCAGGCACTGAGTGGTGTGAGGTAAAGGCACATATTACAGACATAGGTTAACTAAAGTAGGAGATGCAGCAGTATTACAGTGTACAGTGCGCAGTGAGAGTCGTTACAGCAGCAGCTGTGATACACTGCACAGTGAGTATCAACAGAGAGGAGCTGCAGTGATGTTCAGCTCAGTTAGTGCGGGATAGTTAATGTGGACCCATCGCTGCCACTGTGTAACTGGGTAAAATGAACACATTAACCAGATCCATGCCCCCCAGTGAAAGAGAGCAAACCCACTCAGCTCTCTGTGAGGAACCGTTACCAAGAGCACGTGAGCTCCTCGTTTCTGCTGAGGGCTTTATTACAGTAACAGTGGAAGCTCCTAAGTTCTGCGCAGAAGCCGATTACCTGGAATTTACTGTCGTAAACCAGAGTTTTCACTGCTCCCTTCTTCTGCTCCACTTTATCCAGGATCTCTGCAGCCTTCATGTACAGCGCCATTGTCTTCTTGCCGCGGCTTTATGCCTCTGTGAGTAAAACTGTGCTTAATATGTATCCAGAACCTCATTAGATGTGTGTTTTCGTATCTAGAACTCTTGTTTTCGGTGACATGAGAGAGCCATGCTTTCCTGGTTGCTTTTCGGCAGCTGCAAATCGCCAGCACGACACTTTACGGCAAGTTACTGCTGATGATCATCCTCTAGGGGGCGACACACTCACTCTCTCACTCACTCTCTCTCTCTCTCACTCACTCTCACTCTCTCACTCACTCACTCTCACTCTCTCACACACTCACTTACTCACTCACTCTCTCACTCACTCACTTACTCACTCACTCACTCTCTCACTCACTCACTCTCTCACACACTCATTCACTCACTCTCTCACACACTCACTCTTTCACTCACTCTCACACACTCACTTACTCACTCACTCACTCTCACTCACTCACTCTCTCACACACTCACCCACTCTCTCACACACTCACTCACTCTCTCACTCACTCTCACTTACTCACTCACTCTCTCACTCACTCACTCTCTCACTCTCTCACACTCTCACTCACTCTCTCACACACTCACTCACTCACTCTCTCACTCACTCACTCTCTCACACACTCACTCACTCTCTCACTCACTCTCACTCACTCTCTCACTCACTGTCTCACTCATTCTCCCTCTGTCGGGTCCAGCCACGCACGTCAACGGCGCCGCCATTTTGGGGCGGTCAGCATCGCTGCTGGACTGCATTCAGTACCATTACAGAGCGGCAGTTTAAGAAAAATACTGTCCAAAATTACACTATTTCAAGAATATTACACTCAGAAAGTGGGATAGGATTATATAACGGAGGGGACGCAGTGATCCACACTCATGTCTGTGTGGTGTTTGTGTAGATATGGCCGTGTGGTTAATGAGGCACAGAGAACCTGTTGATGTGATTGTTTTTCCTCTGGTTTTATATTAAGCTTATTTCATTTAATAGTCTTTTCAGGATCTAAACTTTATGTAGAAAATGGTTAAAGCTTTGTAGGTAAGTTATATCATTCCTTAATCCGTGTAGATATTCATAATAGATTAACGTTAGAACCTTCTTACACGAAACTGAAGCTATCTTATTTGCCAGCTTCTTGTTCGAATTTTCAGCTTCAGGCAAGTGACTGCTGCACCATTTAAGGTGGAACGGGAAAACTCGAACAAGAAGCTGGTAAATAATAAGACAACTTTAGCTTCGTCCTCTTACTGTGTTTCGGGTGGGTGACTTAATTTTTATGTGTATTAAGATCAGAAGTGATTAACACACTGATGATTTGCTGATGTGTCTGATTGTGTTTCTCACGCTAAACTCGGTTTTTAACGTCAGGTACAGACTGAATACTTTCCTGCTGGTTTGGACGGCTAATTATTAATGTTGTGGCTGATTTAATCCTGGGACTCATCGTCTCTCAACACCAGTAAATTTGTTCACAAGCGGATCTTGACCGCTCCAACATGGCGGACGCGCAGACGTATCGTCTCAGATAGAGAATAACAGACAATTAATGTTAACATTTACTTTTACCTCGTTCATCAAAAGGAAATAATTTGGCTCTTTTTCAGCAAAACCTGCAATTATTTTTTTGTGGGGACTGGCCGTTTCATTGTTTGGTCCCCACAAAGTGGTAAATACATGCCTTGATATACACACAGCCGGATTACTTGAAGGGGCACTTTGACCAAAATGAAAAAAATAATCATTATCGTGCTGTAAAAATGCCTTTTCGCCCCTACAGTGGTGCTGCAGTCATCTCCAGAGTGAGATTTTCTGGTTTAAAGACTAGGAAACCCCCTTCTGATGATGTGTATTGGAAGTGAGGGGAACTTTTAAAACCTACTACTGCTTTAGGCTGGATTTTTGAGGTGGCTGTTGAAATTTTATTTTATTTCATTTTTCTTCTCTAGCTGGTGAGTGCATAAACAAGCCTGAACACCAGTGTTACTGTTAGGAAAGCAAATGTGTTATTGCACATAGCAGTCTCAGATCATTATACTGTAAAAATGGATTACTTGAAAGACAGAAATGATGCGTGAGATGAGGAGGACAACAAGCTAAAAGCTAAAATTAGCAAGGTAGCCACCTGCATATCTAGATCTCTTTCTGTTTGACTTATTTTCTCAGATTGAAAGGGTAAAAAAGTCATCCATTCAAGTCATCCAATCGATTTGGTTTGAAAAAGGTGATTGTATTTGTTATCTTATAGCTCACTAGCCAGGTTAGAGTTGGTTGACACCACCCAGTGGTATTCAAGATGTATTTGTGTAGTGCATGCTGGGTATTGTAGTGAGAGAAAACTGATGAACCACAACATAAAAACGTTATGTATTCTGTGAATTCTGTCAAAGCTATGAGGGTGGAGGATAAAATTCTACAGCTACAGAATACAGCAAAACACGACAAATAACATATGAAATGGTCGTTTAGGGTCAGAATGCCACCCTTAACTGCAAGTAGACACTTTTAGGTGTGAAGAACATCAGAATTAAACTCAAAAGTATTTTCTTTTTTTCTGGCTTTGGTCATCGGTTTAATGAACGAGCTACAAGGCAAGAACAAAACTAGACATGTTTCTGTTGTTTGGTAACTTCTGGCGCTGATTCTCACAGGAGAGAGCCGAGCCAACATGGACCATAGATACTTGTACTGTTTGAGTGTCTGACCGTTTGCATCTTGGACTTTCTTCCCATCATTTGCACATCAAAACGAGCCTGGCAGCTCCTGATTTATGCCTGTGTTTGACAGTGAATGTTTTAAACAATTCACACTTTAGGTATAAACTAGCACTTCAGACAGACTTGCAAATGGCCAGATCCACGCCCTCAGGTGGTGTATTCATGTACCTGTGCTGAGTGATCTTGCACTGGCCAGTTGTGCAAGATCACTCAGCTCAGGGGTCAGTTCAGCTTTTGTATGCTTTTTAGCGTAATGGCTCAGTAGTTAATAACAGTGGAGTAACTCGGATCTTATGGGCCGCCTATATAAAAATGATCTTAGATGAATAAAAACAGGGTAATACTTTATGTTGAGGGTCACCTGTAGATGCTTAATACATGCTTTCATCTCTAACAGACATTCCAACCAAATGTCTATTAAATGCAACTGAGCCTTAAGTTGAATGTGTTAGATGGACCTGCATCTCATTTATTTATCTACCTCAGACTAACTGCCCATACGGAAATGTGTACAACAGTACATATCATAGTTTTATTTAATAACTTATTACTGTACAACTGTACATTGGAGTGCAATAGTAGCATATATATATATATATATTATGTATTTAAATTCTACAAGGGGGCTACGCACCTAAGACTTTCACTCACTTTTCACCTGTGTAAATGTGATGTGATGATAAACGTGATTTGATTTCATTTTTGGTTCACATATAGAAGTTAGCATAGAGTCATGCATGTAAAATGGCATGAACAGTGATAAAAAGGAATCCAGTATAGACGTTAAGGGGCTCAGTCGCAATAGGCCACCGTGTTCACCTGTAGACCCATGTAATTTTTTTTTCACAATTTTAGAGATATATGGCCGTATAAGGCTGGGATACAGCAAATCTAGTCTAGTCTAGTTTCCTCATTAACTCTAGCCAGTTCTGTCCGTTCAGATTTGTAGTTGTTGTGTATGAAGGCCTCCGTGAATGTAAGAGTTACTGTCTCAGTAGTTTGGCACCTATGTATGCACATCAGCTAATATGTGCTGCCGATTGACGTCATTTACCTTAACTCACTTAAGTCACTTATCTGAAGCGTTATCAGCTCTCTTTGAGCACCTGTTATGTTCTGAGCTGTAGTTCAGCTACACATTATCCAGACTACCATTAGGCTGACTAAATGAAATTCTAACTTGTTTTGGACCGTTAGTTTGACACTCCTTAGCCTCCTTTGTTAATGTTCTTATATTTATTATCATCTTAACACAATCACTTGTTCACAAGAACTATTTACATCTGTTTTTCAGGTAGACTTTTAACAGTAATTGTAGTTATATCCAGAAATGGTTCAACCCAACACTGAAAATAATACAAAAAAATAACCTTAGTAATTAGACTTATGTATATTTCTGTGCACTTTGAAAAGCAGAAGTAAAAATTATACTGTAAACAAAATAACCCTTTCTTTCGAACCTTATATGAAGACTTTGGTCAAAAGAGCTTTTTTACCAACTCAGCAGTATTGCTCGCCTTCGCCCCCGGCTCTCCATGAAAGACACTGAGTCTCTGGTCCATGCTTTCAGATCATCCCGCCTAGACGACTGCAGCTCCCTTCTCATTGGTGTTCCTTACAAAACTATCCATCCTCTTCAGTATTTACAAAACTCAGCAGCTGGAATCCTCTGTCAGTTACACTGATTGCCTGTCCTGCTTCATTTCCAGTTTAACTTACAAATGACTATATGATCTAGCAAAAGCTCCTGAACCCTCACTGCCCAGTCCTCTGATTTAGGTCATCTAGTTGTCCCAAAATTTAGACTGGCCATGGTCAGAGGCAGACCTTTCAGCATCATGGCCCCCAAACTATGGAACTCATCACCACAATCTCTCCGTGACAGTACCTCACTTTCCTCCTTTAAAGCTCAGCTTAAAACCAGCCTCTTTTCTCAGCACTTTCTCTCTTCTCCTTCCTGATAAAAGTTATTTTTTGCCTATGTAAAGCAATTATAATTATAGAATTATTTAATTTTAATAAAAGTGCAATGGCCGTTGTCTGCACAGATATATTTCTGCACGTTTGGTGTTATTAGCTGTTACATATTACAAATGCATAAGAGCTATTCGTTCATCTAATTTATCATCTACAGTAGACTGTCCCCAGTCTTTGAGGTCTTTCTTGTCAGTTTTGGCTTTGAACCCTAAACTTGAATTATTTCTATTGAGAATGATGCGTTCCTCTTGGTTCCTTGGTTCTTCTCCGTGTTTCTTCCTCATGCTCTTTGACAGTTATTCCTCTTGAGTCTTGGTTCTAATCAGTGTCTGTTCCTTGTGCTCTTTTCCTTACACTGTCACCTCTTCAGCTTGCTCATCGGGTGCTTGGACCCCCATATCTGTGGGACAGTGATTGTTGTTAAAAGAATTATGAAAATAAATTGAATTGTCTCCACTTAGTTGTCCATGTTTTTAAAGTAGA